CACGCCCCCCCCCCTGCCCCCCGCAGTCTCTAATGTTGCAGTAACGTGCTGGACTTACCTGAGACCCTGCATAGCCCACCGGAGAATCTATGGTGGGCTGTGCAGGGTCCCAGGTGGTCTGGTCGTCGGGATGCCGCCTCGGTACAGTTGATACCCATGTAAGAGGCCCCCCAGACCTCCTCACATGGGTACCGGCTATACCCCTCTGATGGCGGTGTTCTATCAAAGGTTGTGACTATGTTTAAATGTGTGACCGGTGACGTGGTCACACGTTTTAACATAATGCGGGACAGTTTTTTGGCGGTGGAATGTGTGACCACCAATAGGTGAAGCTGTTCCACGGCAGATCGGCATCACAAATCGCATGTGCAGGAGAACTGATCGGTCCTGAAATGTCACTTTTCTCCGACCTCACATTCCACCGCACTCACAAAGTCGGATATAAGTGACATTTCAGGACCGATCAGCTGTTTCTGGGCAGATCGGTTCTCCTGCACATGCGATTTGTGATGCTGTTCTGCACTGGAACAGCTGGGAAAGCGTTGGAATTCTTCACCTATTCCACTGGGCGAGATTACGTTAAAATGTGTGACCACGTCACTGGTCACACATTGTAACGTAGTCTCAAACTTTGATAGATCACATGCCTACCTGTAATCATTTTAATCAGAGAAATTGATTATAATAGGGAACATTACAGTGTAATATTCCCTGTTATAATCCACTTGTCTAATTACAAGAAATAGCTGTACACTACTATTCCCCATGTGACTCCCCTCCTGCTGCCTGTTACTATGGATGCGGAGGGGAGGTGAGTCACAGGACCCGCCCCCTCACTGTGAAGCCCGTCGGCAGTGCGGGGCCCCTGTGTTCGAACACCGGGACCATGCACTGCCATATATTGCAGGACCGCACTGAGACTGTGGGGGTGCCCAGTACCGGACCCCACTGGGCCCCCCCACAGCTTTAGGCCCCGGTGCACCTGCACCGGCGGTAGTTCTGCCACTGAGTGACTACAGACATCCACCGACGAACACAGCCTCCTGTCGCTCATGTCAGAAGCTGCATACAGCGTGTGCTGGTTACTATTTAAACCAGCACACGCTATATGCAGCTTAGCGTAGATAAGAAGCCGACTGCACAATTTGGGTCGCTCCGGCTACGCTAATAGCGCAGCCTGTCAGAAGCTGCATACAGCGCGCCAGTTTAAATAGCTGGCACATGCTGTATGCAGCTTCTGACAATGTGGGATACGGGAGCCTGTGCTGGTGAGTGGATCTGAGGATTAGGCGAGTATAAAAAAAAAAAAATTATTTTATTTTCCCGGTGATGTTTCTGGGGACATAATTTGGTGTATACCAAATACACTGCATATATAATTTGAGGAAAATATGCTAATAAAATGTTTTCTTTACCAATAAAAAAAAATTGTCACTGGATTTCATTTTAAAAATCTGGTCACCTTACTAAATGTAGTATGCTTGCACATGATTGGAACAAATCATTTTCATTTTCCCACACTGTAAATGACAAAAGTTGAACCTTAGATTTGTTGCTATCGGCAACACCTACCTATACTTGTTCTTTACATTTGGAAGGGAACATAGGGCCTAATACATGAAATGTCTACCAAAGATAAACACTCTTGTCGCCTAGAGCAACCAATCCATTTCTTTACCTGTTTCATAACCTGATTTGTAAAATAGGTAGCAGGTGGCTCAGTGGATGCTACTGGCAACAAGCAACTTTTACTATTGACATGGTTTATGTGATAAGACCATAAAGTAGAAGGGATTCATAGGACTACAGAGGAATTATAGAGCAGAACAGAGCTTTACTGAGGGAAGAAGTTGAAGTAATTCCATGCAACCAGCAAGACAAGCAGCTCCCCAGAAACTGCACTGGCCCCACAGCACCAAATATATAAAGCAGAATCCCAGAGAAGGAAATAAAGACACTATTTGATATATATGTCTGAGAACTACCTTGTTTGCCAAAATATGTATAATTCTGTTCAGTTTGGTGATTTAGACACTCCCATAGATAACACAGCCACCTCCTGAACGTCCATGGCAGTTAAACCGCACAGCACTAGGAAGGAGGGGAGAGCGGGAGTGGGCACACATCCAGCCTGCTGATTGGACAAGCTTCTGCAGTGCACTGGGGAGGCCATTCCTGTGTGCCAGTCAACAGAGCCGACCTTTCCTCTTTCATCCTTTGCAGGAATGACAGAAATATAAAATAAACATACAAGGCTCAATTGGCAAAGCTTTAACACAAGGAGAAGTGTCTTTATTGTAGCGATGTGATCTTCAAATCTCATCCAACTCAACTGAAAATAAATGTCATGTCTTTGAAAATAAGTCTCCTGGTTGTGGTTTGTTCACCTGGTGAATGGAGCCCACATTCCGGTATTTACACTCACTGCATTTATATCTACATGTAATGATTTTAACTGCTTGCTGTCTGCCTGATGTAAAAAAAAACCGGACGGATGGCAAACTCCCATTGGCGGGTTGCCGTACATAAACTGCTTTTTTTTCCCTACTCGCGTGTGCCCCCTAGCGCACAGGCAGAAAAAAATGGTCCATTGCAAGCAGCTATTACCAGCTGCTTCACATACAAGTGATTGGCAGCTCTATAGCCGTCCGATCGCTTGTATGTGCTGCCTGCGCCCCCCTCCCCCAGTGCCGCCGCCTCGCTGTCCCTCCCTCCTTCACCCTCACCTTCAATCGGAATCCGTTGCCCCATCTGGGGCCCAGGATCGGCTAGGGGGGGTGTCAGGAGGAAGATGGGAGAGAGATTTTACGAGTAGTGACATGTTTCCTCAAGTACTCGCTGATACCTTTTTTAGTGTCATGTGACAGTTTTTCTAAAACAATACAGATTGATGATTTTTGACAGTGGTGGAGCGCCAGGATCCGGATGCAGTTGCAACTGCTGTGACCCTCGTGGTTCTGCCACTGACTCCAAGCTGTAGAGGGACTACAAATCTCAGCAATACAATATACAGCAATGCAGAATACCATCAGATACATATGTTTGTAGTCTCTTTTGTAGCATGGGACCATCTATTGTGGCACGCCTATAGTTTCTAACCATATTAACCAACCTGTAGCATATCTGTAGTCTCTGACCATCTCCAGTAGATTGGTTGTTGTCTCTGACCATCTCTTGTAGCATGCCTGTAATTGCTGACCATCTCTTGTAGCATTTCTATATCCTCTGACCATCTCTTGTAGCATGCCTATAGTCTCTGACCATCTCTTGTAGCATGTCTGTAATCTCTGAATATCACTTCTAGCATGCCTGTAGTCTCTGACCATCTCTTTTAGTATGTCCGTAGTCTCTGACAATCTCTGGTATCATACCGGCAATCTCTGACCATCTATTGTAGAATGCCTGTAGTCTCTGACCATATCTTCTTGCATGTCTATGGTCTGTGACCATCTCTTGTAGCACGCCTGTAGTCTCTAAACATTTCTTGTAGCATGTCTGTAGATTTTGATCATCTCTTGTAGCATGCTTGTTGTCTCCAACAATAACTTGTAGCATGCCTATAGTCTCCAATATCTCTTGTTGCATGCCTGTAGTCTCTAACCATCACTTGTAACATGCCTATAGTCTCTGACCATCTCTTGTACCATATGAATAGTCTCTGACCATCACTGGTAGCATGCCTAAAGTCTCTGGCCATCTCTTATAGCCTGCCTGTAGTCTCTGACCATCTCTTGTAGCATGCCTGCAGTCTTTGAACATCTCTGGTAGAATGCCTGTAGTCTCAGACCATCTCTGTAGCATGTCTGTTGTCTCTGTCCATCTCTTGTAGCATGCCTGTAGTCTCTGACCGATCTCTGCTAGCAATTCTGTACACTCTGACCATCTCTCGTATTATGCTTGTAGTTTCCATCAATCTCTTGTTGGATGCCTTTAGTCTCTGACTAATGTTTGTAGTGTCTGACCATCTCCTGTAGCATGCTTGTATTCTCTGACCATCTCTTGTAGCACGCCTATAGTCTCGGACTATTTCTTGTATCATGTCTTACTGACTTCCTGGAGCCCTCACTGACCATTTGCGAGCCCATACTGGCCGCTTGTAGCCCGCACTTACTGCCTGAGAGCCCACGCGGACGGCCTTGAGTCTATACTGATCACCTGAAGCCCACATTGACTACCTGTGTGTACCTCGACAGCTTGGAGTCACTAGCAGGTCTACCAGGGTCGCAGCTGCAACTGGGCCTTGGCGCTCCACCACTGACTCCAAGCCAGGGGTGGACTGGGCCGGGGGGCAGGGTGGCAATTGCCAGCTGTAGAGAGACTACAAATTAGAGCCCAGACAGGCGGAAGAGAGCCCCGGTGACAGTTGCCATTTCCATGTAAAGGCCCACCGAAATCCTTAGCACCAGGCCCATGATGCTCTTAATCTGGTCCTGCCACAGAGTAAGACCAGGGATTATATTTTTGCTGTTTGCACCAAACTAAGCCCTCCAGGTAGGCGGATACACCTTGCAAAATGTGGACTTCTTGGCCTGCAGGAAAGGTATTAAAAGTCCAACAGACCTCTTTCCCTCAGGAGCCAGGCTTCAACAGCCATGCTGTCAAAGCCAGAAACAGAGCAGATCTGAGAGCCTACCAGAATCCAGAGAATAATTATATACCACACTGTTCTGGGCTATCAGAGCCACAAGGATCACTGAAATGCCATTTGTTTTGATCCTATGGAGCAGGCAAGAATCTTCAATGGAGGGAAAGCTGATCCCACTGAGTAATCCAGTATATGCAGTGAAAATGCTCTTGGATCCCTGGAGCAGGTTACAAGCCAGTCAAGTTTATTGTTCAGTCTGGACATATACTTCTTGTGTGCCGCAGCAGATCTCCTGAAATACTTGTGTAGATATCATTTCCACCCAAGTCCAACCTGTCTGAGGAAGTCCACCTGCCAGTTGTCCACTCCAAGGAAGTGTACTACAGACCAGATCTGTTACCCTTTGAGCAGCAGACTTCTGAACCCTCCTTGAGGGCTGATGTCCAACACAATCAAGGGACTGGACTGAACATTGACTGGCAGTCCCTGAAAAGGTAATCTGTCCAATGCAGGAGGAGAAAAGTTGCTCTCAACTTTGGACTGTCTGGATTCCTTTACTGACCAGGTCCATTGTGCTGTTGCAGTCCTGAGGACACCTCCCCAGACAAAGAGGCTGGTACCTGTCAGCACTGTCCAATGTAGTGGAAATCTACCAATTGGAAGAATACCACGCTAGCACTATCCTCCTCTAGCTGACTGATGCATGGGGCAGTTAGAGAAAGAGCCCACTTCTCCCATGCAGCCAGAACGCTCAGTTGTAGTGATCTGGAATAGGACTGCCTTGAGGGAATTTCCAATCAGAACCAAGACCCTTAGAGAAGCTCACAAGGCATTTCTGTGGGTCATAGGCTCCCTGCAATTGCATATTCAAGCAACTTACCAGGGGAAGAAACATGCTGCTCTGGATTGGGTCCAGGAGTCCCAGGTACTCCTACCACTGGGTTGATCAAGAAGACTGAGACTCAGGACCCAAAATACTACTGATACGACACCTCAGCTCACAGACCTGAATGCATCTGTTTAGTCTGGCCAGATATGGCATTTTGCGGCAAGTCTAAGGTCTCGTTCACACCTAGGCGTATTGCATATGCGCGTCTGTCGCGCGTTTCCGAAGGCTACTTGGCTGTATCCCAATGGAAACGTGCAACAAAACAGCCCAAAGTAGTACATGTACCTTTTCAGGCATGGGCCGTTTTGTAGTGCGTTAGGGACGGGCAGAAATACGCCAAGGTGGGAACAAGACCATTGAATACAATAAGATTTATATTTGAGCTTTTGTAGAGCGTAGAACGCACTACAAAACATTCAGGTGTGAACGAGGGCTTAGTCAAGTTTGGACTGGTCATCTTGCAGCATTACTTGTTGGCAGGTGTCGTGCAGTGTGATTGACCTTGGATTACATCGATGGAGCCATTTTTCTTCTAAAAGTGTGGTGCGTTTTACATTTTGGTTTATCCCTTTAGTGATAAAGTAGGGGCACAAGTACCCTTTATTTGTTCAAAGGGGCAGTGTCTAGGTGGCCCCTTAAAGGGGTACCCCAATGCAAATAAGCCCCCTGCCTGCAGACCCCCATAACCACCAGGTCAGAGTTGTGGGGGAAGAGGCCCTTGGACACACACTTTGTAAAATGTCACAACATAAAATTTGCATATACCACCAGTCACTAATCTCATCTGAAATTAGTTATTGGAAATTCAGAGGTGTATGCATTCGTTACTTGGAGAATCTGATATACCAGAACAAATCTTTTAAAAAATGAATTGCACATGTCTAGGGCCTTAAGTGACATTACAGGTTAGTCCCTGAAATGGCTTGGTTGGGTTGCCACCCCCTATGTGTAAGCTGGGAGGTAGCTGCTGTGGCCAAGCCAGATCTTGATGGGAAGTAGAAGGAAAAAGGCAAATTGTCCAGTTTTTTTAGTCTTTGCACAGCGTCACTTTACCACATTCGCCAAGGGGTACTTTCCTTGCAAAGTGAACAGCCTGCCTTTAACCCCTTCGTGACTGACGTACAGTGTACGTCGCCAGCATCGGGGCTGTTTAAACAGACTCCCGGTGACTTTTGCCGCCGGGACTCTGTTTAAACAGTAAAAAAAAGTTAAATTTAAATAAAATAAATCGAATAAAAAAATTTTTAAAAGTCCCCCGCGAGCACGCACGTCGCCACATAAACACGCGTTGGGTGCGCCTACATACCACTGGCTATGATGCAGGATCATCGTGCTATAGAGAGGCAATGAATTCTCTTAGACATAGTCAAGTTGTCATAGAAATGGTTCTAGTTCCAGAAATAGGTCAGTGTCATTGACAGGTCATAGGCAGAGTCCATGCCAGAGCCAGTGTTTTAGGCAGATTCACAGGCAGTGCCAGCCAAGTCATAAAATGGTCTTAGGAAGTGTCAGTCCTAGGCAAGTGTCAGGCAGTCATAACCAGTGTCATGGGGGCAGAGTCAAAAGCAGAGTTGCAAGCACCCCAACCATTAAAATGTTCACACAGAGGCCATTCTAAATTATGTCATTTATTTAAAATGTACATACAAAGTAAAAGCCATAAAGAACAAGGAACAATTAAAACCCACACCAACAGTTCATCTGGGGCAGGTCAAGCGCAAAATCATCAAGGGCTGCCAGGAAAGATGGAAGTGCGCTTGAAATATCTGGGGGGGAAAAGAAGTTTTGATACAAAGTTCAGAGCAAAAGCATTACCACCAGGAATGAGATAAAAGTAGAACTGTACTTAACACAAATTGTCATCCACAGCTTTTAACCACCCCTCAGTGCTTCTGAACCCCATCTAACTTATCTTGGCTAGTTTAGGGATCTTCACTGCTGCCCTGCAGACAACCTCAGATACAGTATATTGCCAAACATATTGAGACACCCCTCCAAATCATTGGATTCAGGTGTTCCAATCACCTCCATGGTCACAGCCACTAGTGGATCTACCAGGGTCGCAATTGCAACCGGGCCCTGGCATTCCGCCACTTGGGAGGGGGGCCCCAACGAGGAAGAGGGCTGGGGACCTTGACAGCCTTCCTGTTAACCATGCGGTGCCGTGGTGGTTGGGGGGGGGCTTCATGGTTTCTTTCACCGGGGCCCTGAAGGTTCTAGTTACGCCTCTGGTCACAGCTGTATAAAAGCAAAGCACCTAGGCATGCAGACTGCTTCTACAAACATTGGCAATGGGTCGCTTAGGAGCTCAGTGAATTAAAGCGTAGTACCATGTTAGGTTGTTATGTTGCCACCTGTGCAATAAGTCCATCTGTGAAATTTCCTTGCTACTAAATATTCCACGGTCAACAACTGTTAGTGGTATTATAACAAAGTGGAAGCAACTGCGAACAGCAACTCAGCCACAAAGTGGTAGGCCATGTAAAATGACCAAGATCGGTCAGCGCATGCTTATGTGCAGAAGTTGCCAACTGTCTGCAGAGTCCATAGCTACAGACCTCCAAACTTCGGGTGGCCTTCAGATTGGCACATCAGTGCGTAGAGAGCTTCATTGAATGCGTTTCCATGGCTGAGCAGCTGCATCCAAGCCTTAGATCACCAAGTGCAATGAAAAGCATGCCGCTACTGGACTTGAGAAGTGGAGACATGTTCTCTGGAGTGATGAATCATGCTTCTGTCTGGCAATCCGATAGATGTCTGGCAGTTGCCAGGAGAACAGTACTTGCCTGACTGCATTGTGCCAAGTGTAATTTCATGCTCCCAACTTTGTGGGAACTGTTTGGGAATGGCTCCTTCCTGTTGGAGCATGACTGCACATGCAAGGTCCATAAAGACATGGATGAGCGAGTTTGGGGTGGAGGAACTTGACTGGCCTGCACAAAGTCCTGACCTCAACCCGATAGAACACCTTTGGGATTAGAGAACCTTTGGGATTAGAGAAGAGACTGCAAGCCAGGCCTTCTCGTCCAACATCAGTACCTGACCTCACAAATGCGCTTCTGGAAGAATGGCCAAACATTCCCATAGACTCCTAAACCTTGTGGACAGCCTTCCCAAAATAGTTGAAGCAGTTACAGCTGCCAAGGGTGGGCCAACTCAATATTGAAACATAGACTAATACTGGGATGCCATTAAAGTTCATGTGCGTGTAAAGGCAGGCGTCCCAATACTTTTGGCAATAGTGTATGTGCAATACCAAGTCTAAATTGTATGTGATAGTGATTGTTTTTGTAGCTGCATGTAATCATATCTCTGGATACACAATTTTGTATCCAGAGATAGTGATTGATTTCTAACTGCATGTAATCCTTTCACATATTACATGCAGTGTGCAGGCGTTTACATGCAGCAGCTGTCATCCAATCATTCATTTGAATGGGTCACAGTTGCCACTTGTAACATGCACACATTAACACTGGTAGCGTATATAGTAGTGGCCCCCACGGGACTAAAAAATGTGTCCAGTGGCCCTTGACTAAATTGAGTTTGAGACCCCTGTTCTATAGACTAGCTTAGTATATCCCCCCCACCTTTTTGAGTACACATCCACTTAACATACAGAGCCTAAGAAAAAAAAAACCCACACACACACTTGAATGCAAATGACAAAAAACTTGCATGTGCACCATTTGATTTGTTTTGCCTACTTAACCATAGTCCAAGTATAGTTATCCATAAACTGGATACCTAAACCTTGTGATTGGCCATTTATCCCAAAGCAAGGCAAGTTGCATCACTTGACTTGAACCATAGCCAATTGTTGGTTAGACATGTTCTGAACTAGAACACTCCAGTAAGGCCTGGAGCTATGGATTTCAGAGGAATGAGTGGAAGGCCTGCATGACAAGGCTGGGAATGGAATGAGGATAGGAAAGGGTTAAGGTGAGATAGAAAAGGTTATAGATGGGTCACTTGGATGAAGGGGTCTTCCAGGAGGGGCTTCAGGAAGTAGGAGTCTGGAAGTTCAGTTGGGAGTCTGGCAACAGAGGAAGAACTTCCCACCCCTGTGTCTAGGGGTATTTGTCACAGCTGGGGACTGCAGTTTGGATCCTTGGAGGCAGTGGTTAGTGGTTACATATCTGGACGGGGGACCCATCCGTGGTATGGGTGTCCTTCAGTAGTCGGTCAGATTGGTATGACTGGTGAATAGGGAACCAACGTGGGTCTGCGGGCAATCTAGTTACGTCCCTGAGGCAGTGTATGGCGGCTGGGGCATTGTACAAGAAAGGTGCTCGCAGATACTCGTCCATTTTTAGAGTACGATTGCCTTCAAGGACCTTGAAACCAAACAAGTTGATAGAGTATGTTTTGGTTTGTTGATATTGTTATTTATAATGTTACTTACAAGTATTTATAATAAAAGGCTGCTGTGGCAATTTTAACTCCTGCTGTTGTGTGGCATAGTTATTGGTAACAGGGAGGGGGTTTGAAGGGAGGCGAGTACTGGAAAGGGACCTCTGAGCTACCCGAGTCATGATGTACACGTCTAGTTCCCCGATGCAAAGCTGGTCACAGAACATGGAGCACGAGTATGAAGTCCTATTACGGTTAGAAACCAACCTGACTCCCAGCTAATGACTGGAATATCCATTGGAGCTGGCTCATGGGCCAACAAAGCATCAACCTTTGAAGCTTCATGTTCATGCACAATAAGGGGAACTCCAGAAAGGTCAAGGTGGCTCAGCTTGTGCTCTTCTTGGACATTAAAGGTTTCAAAATCTAGGAATTAAAAATACAAGATATGACTGCTATACCAAGAACCTCCTGTTACTCATTACTGAGCAAGGCAGGATTTGCAAAACTACTTAAATCACAGACCATCTAGCTTCCCCAGACAAAGGACAATCATACCACAGTAAGTCATTAGTCAGTCCCAGTCTGTCCAGCCCAACTTTCAAAGCCAAAGGTAGAACTTCAAACAAAGTTTTAGGAGTTACACCACAAGCTTTAGAAAAACCCATCAAGGGGTAAACCTAAAAAGTGAACATAAAATTAACAAACACTTGCCTGCAGGATTGTAAGGGAGACACTTCTCAATCTCAGGATAGTTCTGTTTTCTAGTCTTAATGCAGACCTGAAATTGATCAAGAATAACCGTTTAGCATGCAGAGTATTTTTATTATGTCATTTACATATTTGACTGATCCTAACCCCATGCTACCAGCTCCTACCAGACAGGCTTTATCAGCAGTCACATGATCAGGATTCTAACTTCCAGTTGTAAACTGAACTGTTCGGCTACAGTGTTGTCACTGCTGGATATGCAGCAGCCCAGCGTTACAAAACCACCCACCTTGCTGCTGCACATGTGTACAGCTGTGGGAAGGTGTTAATAAATCTAAACTCCCAACAACAAAAATTAATTTAAATTTTATATTTATTTAGGACAGGGACAGACAGCTTTCCCTTATTAAAAAAGGAGAATTATGGAGCAAGTGAAAAACTCATCCACAATCCAAGCCAACCTGTTACAAAGAAGCTGTCACAGATCAGTTCTATTGATCGGGAAGTCAGTGAACACACTGCCAATTGCTGGCTCCCCTGATTATATCCCTGCAGAGAGCAGTGACAGTCACTGCAGGGCTTGCCCACCCCCTCCATTTCTCTAGCACTGAGTATGCTGCGTTTTGGGTCAACGGAGGACACTGTATATGTTCTCCCATGAGTTTACATTAGTTTACAACTAATTAGATTAACCCTGTCTGTACTGTGCTGGAAGCAGCACAGTACAGACAGGGTTAATTAGGTTAACAGTAGCCTCCTCAGTCTCCTGTATTATAGAGCAAAATTCAGTAGAGTACAAATTTTCAGAATAGAGCATGTATTGTTCAAGCTACAATGTAAAACACCTAGGGCCTGTTCAAGTTTGTGCATTAAATTGCGTCATTCTGTGTGATTAATGCATGGTTCTGCACAATGCAGCTACTGTGCATCAACAGTGCAGGAGGCATGTTGGCATTTATTTGAAAGGCACCCCAAATGCACCCCTCACCTGCAATGTATAGTACTGCATTGTAGTGCAGTTGAAAAATTTAGGAGTACATGCAGTGCCACATGTTGGGGCACATTTGGTCGCATTATGGGTGGGAGAGGAGTTTAAGACTAAAGGCACATTTTGGTTATGCCTAAACTTTAAACTCACAAATTGGCTACACCCACTATTTAGGAACATTTCCAGGAAAATACTTAGTTAGAAAGTGTGGGAAAGGTTATAGACTATTGCCATGGTTGTTGATCCCCAGTTTGGAGATCTGCCCACACTGTTGGCAGACTGGAAATCTAAGGGCAAACAAACCTTCAGCTGGCTATACACCTATTGATTTTTTTTTCCCCATCAGCCTATGTTAGATGAAAATTGTGCAACAGATTACTCCATCTACAATTAACTGGATGGAGGAAATCGCTCACTGGGCCAAGCTTCAGTATCTTGCTAGTCAGCCCTGCTGGCTCTCAATACCTGAACTCCTGCATCCAATCAGGTTGTTCAGGTAATGTAACAGCCAGTGGGATCGACCAGCAAGATACTGAAGCTTGGCCCAGCACAAGATTCCTCCATCCACACAGTTTATTTTAGATGGAGGAATCTGTTGCACTTTCTATCTGACCATAGGCCGATAGCAGGAAAACAAAAAAAACCTATGGAAAATCTATGGGCATATGGCAAGCTTTACAATGGCTCCAGTACATTTTGGCTCAATAGGACTGGTCCAGCGATTCACAGGACAATAGTACCTGCTTGGTAACTGGTGCAGATGTCTTCAGTTTAAGGGCACCTTTCTGGAATGGAGCAGCTGTTTGGGCAACTTGCTTGTTGATATTTCCCAGAGCTTTTCTTGGCTTCACCACAGTTCCAGAGCTGCCAAACACTTTTCCTAGATGACTTTTGAAAAGGTGTTTTGCTTTACAAGGGTGGGGGATAAAAGAAAAAAAAGTTAAACAAAATCTGCACTTGACCTTCTGCTACAGACTACTTAAAGGGACTGTTAAGCAGGGGCATGCAATCTCCAGCTAGAGCAGAGTGTGACACTGTGGCAGGCATTTCACTGAGCTCCAGGCAACCAGTGATGTCAGTGAGCTGGGTGGGACCGACAGCACGGCTCCAAAACCCATCCAACAAAGCATCAGCACCCTACCCAAAGCCCCCGGTGGCATATAAGGCAGGGTCTGTTATTACTAGGGATGCACGGATACCAGTATCAGTGCCAAAAATCAGCATGAAGCTGGCTTCCTAGCTCCATACAAGAGCCAATCTCTGATTTCCCTTACGAGATGAACGTTCAGACGATCAGTGGCAGCTGTCAGCTCTTTTTGCAGCATGAACAGAATTCTTTTTACAGCAGAGCATAGTTTTGGGGTTCAGCTTCCCCATGTGTGGGTGAATTCGAGCATTCTGGCCAGAGATGAGTCCTGATCTTCAAGGAAGGAAGGAAGACAACTGAGGATCCAAGGCTGCACTTGGCAGCACCACCCTCACACCACCCTTGGCAGTTTCCCTCACAATCGAGCCAGCCAATATTGGGGCCGGCTTCTCTGGTAATCAGGAAGCATGTTATTACTCTCCACCCAGCTTCCCGATTGCCCAGGAAACTGGCTCCATGCCAGCAGACGCATTGGTACTTGGTATCGGCAAGTACCGAAAAGCAAAGTATTAGTACTCTACCCAAAAAACAAAAAAAAGTGCATCCCTAATTACTGACCTCTCCCAAAGTTATTAACCCCTTTATTGGACTGCCACAGGCCAAACTCCTGTGTACATGAACTAAAACTTGTTTTATAGCTGAACCCCTCCAATATCTATGTTGTCTCATTTCCATATCCTAATGATCTTCTAAAGGGGCAAGAAACCTGGTTTATTGAAATCTTTGACAATATGCTCAGATGATCCAACTGCCAGTTTCCTTTTTGTATGCCCCACATTAGAGTCCACAAAGACCAGTATATGTGGGTTGGACCACACAGTTGGTGGCCAAACACCCTGGGGGATGGGGGGACAAATTACTTTGTAGAAAGCATCACACATAAGCAAACATGGAGGCAGGTGCCGCGTCCTTCAATGAATGGAGTACAAAAGCATCCCCATTTTCTTTTCCATTCATTGACAGACATGTCAGGTACACAATATGCATACCCAATTTCTCTTTACTTCCCCAGTATTCTGGCAGTGGCCATGCTCAGGGCAGATTACTAGCTCTTACTTCCTTGCACATGTGACAATGCACATCATCTCAGGGGAGGAAGATACCTTTCCTTGAGATCTCATGAGATTACAGATGAGATTTCCCAGCAATTATCTGCTGACAAGCAATCCCAGTGTGCATTTCTTTGACAATCGGAAGTCATAAGCCATCAGACTACTCACCAGAGTTAGCTTGTTCAAGACCCTTGAACAGGGTGGTAGAAGCAAAGTCTCCATTTTCTTGGTCGACAAATATCACAGTTGCCATGCTGCACTAAATTTAGAACTGTGATGTAATTGCAAGAAGTTAGGACGTGTTTCACAAGCATAGTTTTCATAAAAACAGAATCTAAAATCCTCCTTTTCACAGAACATTCCATGCAACCAGGCTGCACAAGCAATTCTCATAATACTACCTTCCAGGAACCATGTGGTGCCATTCAATTTTCTACAAACCTGGAAGGCCTGTGCACTGAATTGTGTTGACCAACTGCAGTCATTAGATTTAAAAGCACATTCCCACTTTTGCAGACACATTTGAGAAAACCCTCACTATGATTAAGTGTTCCTATTCACACATCACATGTAAAAAAAAGTTGTAAAAAACATTTTGTACCTTTTAGATGCATCTATAGTAAGCCTTTGCAAGCTTCTCCAAGTGAACTATTCAAATGAACACATTTGAGCCTACGGAGCATTGGATCACAGGTGCAATGCTTTAACTACTGCAGACTCCCTCCCAAGTCCCTGCCTGCACTGAGGTATGGACTTTTAGCTAAGTGACAGGAAATATGAATGGAGTACAAGCATGGGGACATAACCACACTACTCCATGAAGACTACAAGTCCCTCTGCTGCTGTGTCTCTCCATTCACAGATCCTGTGACCAGGTTTTATATTACACCTTAAAAATGGGTGAAACTTGGATGCAAAGGACTTACCCTTTGTTAGGACAAGGCCAAGCTATGCTAACATTAACCTGCCCAGCCTCCCTCACCAGAAAAAAAAGCTTTCCTTTTAGTAAAACCTAAACTTGCATATTACATGGTGTTATGGTGTTATCCCAATCAGGCTGCAAAGTGGAAATACACTGGTGGGAGGGAGGTTTATCAAAACTGGATTAGACAGAATCTGGGAGCAGTTTCCCATGGCAATCGGTTTCTCTCTTCAGGTAAGCTTTAAAAAAAATAAAATGAAAAAGCTAGATGGGTTACCATGGACAACTGGGCTCCAAATTTGCAAAATTGTCTTTTTAAAATTTACTTAGTCTTCACCATCTACACAACACATCAAGAGACAGATTATCTGATCTTGCACAGACAGCACAGGTCTCCGACAGGGACCAACAGCATGTCCCCACACAAACCAGGCTTTGGGGCCTCTACCAGGTCCCAAAGATTAGACAGATACCCACACACACCAACCACTCTGTCTCTGCCAGGATAAACAGCAGTTTGCACATGTGCAGCAGATCCATAGCATGCAGACATACTAACAATCTCTGGCAGGTTCATGGTACCCAGCTGGAATCCATGTCCACACATGCCAGAACTTTTTCAAGATGGCGGCATAGGACATGGCATGCAGCAAATCACAGGAGGATAATACTGGATTCACTGGGCAGGCAAGTATATTAGCTGAGCTCAACCCAGTACACAAATAAGAAGGGGTTAAATCTATTCCCCCCCCTCACTGCTCCAGGGACAAGACCCAATCACAACACTTACCACAAATACCCACTGGGGAACCCTTTGGACCCATGCAACCCAACCACCATCCTCTGCCTCCTCCACCTTACCTAGGAAGCCTTCACAACTCTCCTCTATTCAATATACACCTGCTAACCCTCCAGTTCTTAAATCAAAGGCTGCTTGCTTATTGGCTGTACGGCGAGGGTGCTATTCTTTCATTGGCCATATCCTCCAGTGGCAGTTTGTTTTTATTGGGTAAGAATTAAGTGCAATGTGCCTGGTGCAGCATACATAGATTGAGACGCTAAAACACCAGCACATGGACGGGGATCGTCTCCAAATATAATTGTATTTTAATTTGGCATAAAAACAGCAAAACAGTTTACACGTTTCATCCCAAACACTGGGCCTCAGTCATATACCTAATATAAATTTGCACGTATAAAGTCTTATACACTCCCAACCTCCAAAATGGTGGGCGTAGGAGTAATCACTTCAAACAAAATGAACCCATGCAGCATAGAAAATGCTTCACAAGATCAAAATAAAATATAAACCCGCTAATGCTGATCCCCAGACTAGTTGGAGAGCAGCAGTTGGAAAACAGAGGGTTAAATATTTGGGGCGCTTGGAAGTGTTAATTAACGCGTACCAAGCGCATAGACACCCGAAATCAACAAATGTAAATGGATGTAGTTCCCACCTTTCTGCAATGCAAAAAAAATGTCACTGCAGCACAAACGCATGTAGACACATGCAAACGCATATAAAGGCATTCATGTTTTCTTTTTTTCTCTCTCCTTTTTCTCTTTCCTTTCCATGAATTTACTGGGCCATTCACACCCAATGAGCCTGGATGTGTCAATAAATGCACACCAAACACGTCAATTAAAATTCATTGATTTTGGGTGTCTATGCATTTGGCATGCTTTAATTACCACATCCAAGCACACTGGGTGTGAATGGACCCAAAATATTTAACCCTTTGTTTTCTAACTGCTGCTCTCCAACTAGTCTGTGGACCTGCATTTTCAGGTTTATAGTTTTGATCTTGTAAAGCATTTTATGTGCTGCATGGGTTAATTTTGTTTGAGGTAATTACTCCTACACCTACCATTTTGGAGGTTGGAAGTATATAAGACTTTGTGTGGATGTGTATATTAGCTATGACTTAAGCTGGCCATACACCTATAGATTATCTGCAGATTTTGTATGGTCAGATGGAAAAAGTGCAACATTCCTCCATCTACGCTAACCTGTGTGGATGGAGGAATCTCCCACTGGGCCAAGCTTCAGTATCTTGCTGGTCAGCCCCGCTGGACAGAGGAATCTGTTGAACTTTTTCCATAAAATGTTTCCAGAAAATCTGCAGATAATATATAGGTGCATGGCCAGCTTAAGGCTCAGTGTTTGGGCTGAAACGAGTAAGCTGTTATGCTGTTTTTATGCTGAATTCAAATAAAGTGATATTTGGAGAAGTTCCCTGTCCATGTGCCGATGTCTTAGGGTTAGTTCACACCATATGCAGCGCGTTCCGGTCGGATTCTGGCCAGAACGCACTGCATTGCGGCCGACTCACTTTTTTGCTGGGCAGGAGGGGGCGTGGCGGGCCATTGAAGTGAATGGCAGCGTAGCCATGCCCTCTGGCCGCAATGCGATAACCCGCAAGGGATCGCAAGGCACATTGTGCCTGCAGTCAGGTCCGGTGCGATCAAAATAGTCCTTGCAGCATTTCTGTGATTCACTCCTTATTGCTTGTTAAAAAAACAGGCTTGCTGGGAGTAGGAAATGCTAAGTATCCAAGATCCCACATGAGATTTGGGATCGTCAGCATTCCCAGAATCTCACCGAATGGATCGTCATGGACCCTTCTAGGTGCTGCAGGCAGAAGCCGGCATTATGGAAGAATATAGATTTTTTATTTTTTTTTGCAGATGTTTTGTTTTTACAGCAGTAATGCAGTGATTACAGTGGGGGAAAATGGACACTTAGGGACTAATTTATAAACCATTCGCACAGCACTTGTTCGCACAGCGAACAAGATTTACTGCACTGAATGGCCATGTTGCTGGGCAGAATAGGAAATTCCTAAAATTTGTGCTGTGCGAACAGTTTAAAAATCAGCTCTGAAGTAATAGGCTGACATTTACACCTAATGCAAGGCCCAATTTAACTTCTCTTTCTGGAAATGTTATTTCCCTGTCTGTGAAGCTAGCCTTCTGGCTTCAATACTTGATATAAGCACACAGATCAGAAGAGTAAAAAACTCTGAACAGCATACTTTGATTCAAAGTCACTAACATATAACATCTAGTTGTCTGATATTTTAGGTAGTACGGTAGGTCAGCCATGGCTCCACTATTTCTCTCATGACATTCCTACCTTTTAGGTAAATAGGGTGCCTTTATGTGGCAGAGCTTTAATGTCTTTCTGGTTAGCACTAGCTGCTTAGCTAATTATGTTGTTGGTCTTTAAGTATAATTAAATTCTTTTGTACATAATCTTCATCGTTCTCTGAATTCTGAAATCACACTTTGACCATGAACAATTTGGTAATTTAATTTTACAACTCAAACATTATGAGTCTTTAATTATACATAATGTTAATGTGTGCCGCAGAGAATACACCAGGCTAATACAGTACTCTGCTATTTGATAGCTAATTTTTATGCTTCTGCTGTATAACCCTGCCACAGTGACTGACAATGTCAGATATTTGAAATAATTAGCAGTTTAACACTGGAAAACTGTACACCAGAAAATCACCTCCTCCCCTTTACTAGCTTCTGAGAGGCAGGTAAAGCTTGACAACATCTGTCATGTTTTCTACATCTGTCACAGCCTGGACATTTCCTACTTTCTAATGGTAAAAAACCTTCAAATTTCCTTTTCTTAGTAAAGTGGCAATCTAAACTTTTTGATCTCTGAAACTCTGCAGTGATATGCTATAATGAATGTGTCCACTGGAGGGCAATAGCATTCCAGGATAAGCAAGGTGAAATCACAGATGATATTGCAGTCTGAAAACAGAAGTAACTGTACAGATAAGCAAATGCTGTAGCTTTGTACAGATTGCCAAGATAGTGAATAGGGTTCCAGTGCTGTTCATAATCTAGTTATTTCTTTCTTAGGACATATCTTTAACAGTATGATTTCTTTTTTTAAGCAATAAAAGTAAGAATCTAGGCATGTAAAGGGCAACTGAATCAGTTGGAGATTATAGAAGGGTATGGAGACTGTGAAATGAGCCAATGTCACTGAAATATCTGCTTACTGCATATGTGCATGTTCATTGACAGAGCCTTTTATTGTTGACAGTTTACAGGCAGACATGTTGATTCAGTAACTTACAACACATTTTTCGACTCTGCTCCCCCCTCAGTTACCCCCCAGTACACCTGCACACGCATGTTATGTTTTTCATCATGGTCACAGGGTCCTCATCCACTTCCAATCTTCACTGGCGGTAAGCGATCCATAATCATTCTTATCATGCGATGGCGACACATCGTTAGAGGTTGGGTCCACTCAATCTGAAAGATTAATTTTGTGGTGTTATATTGTTATTTTTTTTAAG